GTTTTGCTGTATGCAAGTTCGAGGAATTATGCTGGTGGTGATGCGATCGCGTACTTACAGGTGATTGACGAATTTTTGAGTACATTCAGAGGAAAACATCCAAATGAAACGTTTCATTTGCATCGCGTTCAACGGGTGAATCGAGAACGACATTAGCAAAAAGTGTCTTTATCCGTCAGCATGATGAAAAAATAATGAAAAAAATAATGTTACAATAAAACATAATAAAAGTGAACTATTAACCCATCTGTTCACTGATTGTGTGCAGAAGAAATAAGACATGAATTGGCCTCATTTTTGTAACCTCGAAAAGAGAATCATTCGTTTAAAGAAAGATGATTGATCGCTGCTGTGATCACGATGATAACTGTAGTGATAATGGCATAAATATAAAATGTTCAATTTCTGAAACATTCACACAATTTGACAACATTTCTTTGCAACGTCAGAAGATGACAGCAAGCATATCGTTGTGGCTATATATTGTGAGCGTACCTGAGCATGTGTGTGTATCATTTAAGATTTTGTTGTGAATTAAGTAAATGTTTACTTCTAGTTCATGCAAAGATATGATAAAAATAAACATATCTCACTTTATATCGACAACTTCGCTGCTCAAACGGGAGTGAGTCGTTTTCTTCAACTCTATGACACATGGGAGTAAGTTGTTAATAGTAGTTATGAAGTTTGTGATAATCCTTATCAAATTAATAGTAATTGTAATAGAGTCTTCTTGAAGGTATAACAAAACTGATCACCTAACGAATGAGCAGTTGGCTCGTTTCGATTTCCTACTGATCGGCTCATATGATGATCGCGATATCGTCTCAACTGCCACTAAGAATTTCTCGTCAACACATCGATTGTTGTTCCCAGTGAATGCATTCCAGTACGAACTTCTTCATATTTCAAATTCATCATTGAAATAATCACCACATTCCACTTTTCTTGATTCCGTTTTTAAATTTTTAGATCTTTGATCGTGAAACGATCCACGACATTTCCATTCATTTGGCCGATAGTGAAGATGCGTCACAAAATGGTTGTTTTGAAGAAATTGGACTGATGTGAATACTTCTGATACAGCCATTCAAAAGGATGCAATTTTCCATGTTCTTATATGTTGCTATAAAAATGTTCCAGCGGAAGCGCTTTTTTCTAATGTCACCTCGTTTTGTTGAATGCGTATCATCCGGTTTTGAATTTTATTGTGCTTTATTTTCTTTTGAGTTTCTTTTGTTGAATTTGTTATCTTGTAGGTGTTAAAAGTGTTGTTGTTGATAATAATTTTGTGATTGTGTAATCATCGCTTTGAAGTGTTCACTTTTGAGGTTCGTTGTGTCCTGATTTTGAGGTGTCTGTGCGGTTTTATTTCTTACAATCTTATCTTGTAATATTCCTGTTTAAAAATTTTCAAATGTGATTTTTTGTCAGTAATTGTGAAATAATTGGATGTGAACGATTGTT